CCTCCCCCCAATCATCTCTCATTACCATAATTGTATCCGCAGTATTTGGTCCTGGAATCATTCGACGCACTCTAACCCCGCCCACTTTTCCCTCCAAAGCGGCCATCAAGCAAAGGGAAAGGAAAGGGGTGCGGGAAGGAGGAAGAGGGTGGGTGAAGTTTTCCGAGAAAGGGCGAATGCCTGATTTCGTTCCTTTCATACTTATTTTTTTAGGTTTTTTTTTCCAGAATTTACAAAAAACCCATTAAAAACAATTTCACCCCTCACACCACAATCCTTTCAACTTTGGAAAAAGCGCCACCCCGCCGACTTTTCACCTTCGTCAACCCCATCAAACGTCCCCCTCGCCCCGGAAATTACAAATAGGACTCTATCTTGGTCGGCCGGATGGACGGTTTACCCTGTCTCAAACCCACCCAGGGTAGGTGGCCTACAAACGCAATTGTCGCCAGTGATGTTCTACTACCAGTTCCTAATCACCTCGAGATTGTACACTGTGGGGATTTTTAAAGGAGTAAAACCGTCTACTCTAGATAAAAGATCATTTAAGTAGAAGTAGGAGACGTTTCCCTCGAATAGCATTTTGTTTCAAGTCTATTCAAACCTATTTCTTCAAGCATTCATAGAAAAGGTGAATAGATGCTCACCTGTCCATTTTTTCCTTTTCCTCTCCAGAAAGGACTTTCAAACGTGATTGTGAAATAGTGAGCTCGACCAGTTGGACGATAGCTCTCTTAAGTAGGGTTGAGATTATGTATCGGCGGTGAAAAACCCGGGGATAAACTCACCGATAAATTGTGCGTATTGTTGTTGAAGCGGAGGGCTGAACTCAATCGTTGATGCGACAACGGGAGGCACGGTGACGACCACTTGTCGAGCTTGGTATACCCGATTGGGCGTCTTCACGGTCACCGTAGAATCGCCTGAGCAGATTGCAGAAGTAGAGCTCACTTAGGAAGGCGAGAAATATAGAAGGCAGTGACTTTAGGACCAGAATAAAATTTTCTTTTCACGGGGAGAAAGATATTGTCAGGAAGCCAGCTGGGACCTAAGGTTGCAGGACACGCCTATGGGGAAGGTGTAACGCTGAAGCAAGTGGGGCCTACTAGTGGAGCTGAGTTTTACTGCGCTTGCCAGACGGATAGAAAATACGCTATCGCAATATACGGGGACATTGTAGCACCGCATTCATAACTGCGTAAAACATGTCCTTTCCGTTGAAACCGGACTAACAGCAAGAAAGACCTATCAGAAGGTGCGTGGACCATTTTTATTTTCCTGAGTTTCTGCCCCCACTTAGGCCTAGTTCCGCCTTTTTGGCGCTATCGCAAAGTAGGGAGGAAGCCCCATATATGTATAGCGATAGCGGAAAACGCTATTTACGGCTACACTAAAAAATTGATTGGAAGCGCCTACGAGTGGAGGCTAACTGGTTGTAAGAAAAAGAAGGTCACCTTCTTCAATGCTGGTAACCGTCTCGTTCAGCTGTACGTCCAAATCCTCAGCCATGGCTCTAAAATCGATCGATTTCACTTAAACGACTGAATCGACTGCTTTGCTAAAGAGTAGTTCACCTGGTCAATCGATTCAGCCCACCCTGCATCAGAAGACCCTGTCCATGACCGTAGCGAGACAACAGATCGGCCACAGTGGCATTCTCGCTGGCTGCGGCCAAAATCAGATGGAGAACCGATACGGATTTGTCTGGTGAGTCGAACAGGGTCTGCAAGTGCTCAAAGTATCAAGCAGATCGTCTTTGTCTACTGTCCGGCTCATCCATCCAGTTGAATTGACAACACTGTGCTGAAGGCCGATGTCAGACTTTGCGAATCGCGCGATTCGCTAGCGTCTGCGGTCGCGTCGCGGCCAGTGAATCACTCAATTGGCTGGTACCGCAACGCGACCGCGGACGCTAGCGAATCGCGCGATTCGCAAAGTCTGACATCGGCTGACCTCTCGTCTCGTTGGGGGGGGCTGGGTGGAGAGGGATGAGCGGTAACAAATAAAGGAAGCTCCTAGTCCACGTGCTTGAACTGGACTGTACGACTCGCCGTACCTTCCCAACCCTTCACGTTCCAACGACTCTTTTTCCAAAAGCCAGCGCCGTCTGGACATAAGTCTTCTATATGGCCCTGCCCCAGATCAGATTCTATCAAAGGATGAGCTGTTGAGTTGATAATTCGATGATTATCAGATGAATGAAATATTTTAGCATTCCCTATGCCACGGTTCTCCAGCTCCGTTGACCTGGCCCGGGAGAGAACGGAACCTCTTCCCTCCTTCCCCTTCCTTAGAAGGGGAATATAGGCGCTCCTTCCCTCTGAAAGTTATTCACAGGCGAACGTATACTCGTTCCCTGAGAAACGTTTAATTTCCCGTTTTCGTTGCACGGGACAATTGAATGTAAAGGGTATCTAAGCCCGGATTAGGGCGCTGAACGCGCTACCGGCGGGGTGAAACAACGTCCTCTCGGCTGTTTTTTTCGTCATCTGAATACAATGTTCGACAAATAAAAAAAAGAACGCTCCGACGACGATCGCCGACTTAACTGATGGATTCTCGCCTCGTGATAACCGTCTACCGATTAAAATTCGTCATTTCGTGACCAGGCGGGGTCGCGAGATTGAACACAAGCGCCTTTCGAAGACCTGCCTTAGCTCTTACGCAGCCACCAAAATCTCGATCTCCGATCTAACTTGATGGCACGATTGCGTGAATTCCCGATCCTCTATGGATCCCATGCCACTTCCTGATCTTTGGCTTCCAGTGATTCACAACATGTACAGTATATCCCTCCGAAACCGACGCCGGCGCTGAGAGAAGCATCCTATACGATTCCGACTGGCGAAATCCGGCGCTCAGCAAAGTTAGTAAAACCTGACTCTGGCCCTTCGCCCACCAAAGAGCAGGGAGTAGACCGGATAAAGACCTGACACCGGGACGAAGCCTGCTCTCGGGAAGTAAGGCAGAGCGAATAAAGGCAGGCCGACCGGACAGCGCATGCCCAAGGCCAGAGGGACCGCTCGAATTGAGCGCCAAAATGACTGTTTGCCGCGTTTGCTACAGCAGTCAACCACTAGGAACGATTCGCAAAATGTTCACGACCCTCTCCCACCCCTCCCCTCCTCTCAGTCAATCCTTACACACAACTCCTCGCCTGCCATGACTGCCATCAATAGGGCTTCATTCTGTATGCTCGCTACACACCGGCAAAATTCCAGCGTGCCAACCAGCTGCATATCACTTCCCTTATGTAACATCAACGCTATCTTCGCGAAATACGACCCTCCCTTTTTCCACCCCAAATACGACCCCCCACCTCTCGTTGGACTTTGTCCAACGGACGGTTGACCCTGTTGCTAAGCCGCTTTGAGTGCGCCTACGCGGTAGAAAACCTCATACGTCTTCTGCTTAGGTCCGCCGTTTCCATTTCTACAAGGCATATTTACCCCTCATTACGATTGAATTACCGTATCCACTGCCTTTAAGATCTTACCCTGATCAGAACTTTTTTCACCAATCTTGTCCACTAGATTTCCCGCAGTAAATATCTAGTAGTAACCTGAAGCAAGCGGTTTGCTGTGTCCATTGTAGGCTTCGTTTGACCGGTGTTGAGCAAGTAGTCATGGACATTTCGAGCTGCCCACGAAGGTAGCTCGGTGGAGTTGAGCGCATCAGGAAACGAGCGACGAGTTGTGAAGGACTCCGATTCAGCCTGCCTGAACAACACATTTTCACACAAGCTGCCGTAGACTAGTATACATTGTAGTGTTGATCATCAGGCCACAGAACCGATTAACACTTCCGGTATTCCTATTTGATGGTATCGAATTTCACAGTTTTTCTGTCTCTGACAGCGAAAAATTGGCTGGACCTCTTGCAGGGTGAATTTCATTCTTTGGTTTGATTCTCCCGGACATACCAGCCTCTAGATCCAGAATGCCACATCCAGAACTTAAAGCTACAGCCCAAGATGTCGTGTCGAACAATATGTTTTGTAGGTAGGTTAGAGTAGCCCGCGGGTAGAACAGATGTTCCGTTTTCGTGGCTCGAAAGTGCGCGAACAATGCTAGGGCCTCACAAATGAGCTGGTGACACTAATGTGAGCTAATGGACGAGATACCTCGCGCACACCCCATGACACGCAACGTGGATTACGACTAGCGGCTAATTCAAATACGCGCGGGTTAGTGGAGCCATGGAGCAAGCAAGTTCAGACAACTCGTCCGACACGCCCCTCCTCATTTCTTGGGAAGGGAGGGAGTCTCTGTTCAAAGGCTCCTTCCGCGTTTACTTTGCTTCTTTTTTCAGTTTCAATAAAGTCGGCATCCACAATTTCACCATCGCTATTACCCCACCGATTTGATCTGGGGCTGTTGCGAAGCAGTTTGCCATGTTACTGAAGGCCATGCGGGTAGCGTCTAGGTTTTCTTTGATAGCTCGCGTGTAGAGAAGGTTAGAGTGAAGGAGCTTCGCAATATATA